TGTTGCTGCTGAGCTCCATGAGAGTTCATCGCTCAGGGTCGTAGCAGCGCCAATTGATGGGTTTGGAAGCAATGGCCGAATAGTTGAACAAACAGCCGGTTTATTCTTAAACAACGGTATACAATCTTCGGATTCACTCTAACTAACTAACTAGCTGGGTAATTTATAGCCTATATACCAAGGCTTCTAGTCAGGCGTAAAATGTTCTCGAACATTACAATACTACCAGTCCTAACCTGGAATGTTCTCGAGCATTATAATAGTACAGTCCTAACTTAAAATGTTCCGAACTTGCGAACCCAACACTTCTGAAATGTTTTAAAGCAGAATTTGAAATAGAATTTATCAAGGAATTTATATCGGCGCTTAGAAATCTTGTAAAATAGTAAAATATAGATATTTTCGCACCATCGGATGAACCATTGATAGCTGGTTTCAGAAATGTAAACCCTTTGCGTTAACGATGCTCGATATATGGAGTGTTAGACTCACTGGATCTGAATCAGGAAAATCCTCAGCAAATTGATCCGATTGAGCGCCAGGACTATCAAACATTAAGTGGCTGGGAGGTATAGCGAAAAACAAGGGAGGGTAGAAGCAAAGTAGTAATAGGGGTGAGACACTTAAAAAAAAAGTCGCGCAAAAATATTTTTATCAGCGCTGCAAACGTGACTGGCAGCATCTTCAGTTCTTGTAGCTGTAAACTCCTTATTGGCCAAGTCGCGAACTAATAAAGACCTGCGGTCACTTGATGATGACCAACCGCCGAACCATCGTACTCCTTCGTGTGCACTACTCAAATGACAGTTTTTCAAATGCCATTAACCCAAACGTGATGGGATCAAGCAAACCGCGAACTTGCGGTCAGCGGGCCAAATTAGATGCGACAAACCTTTCGATCATCCCGTAGATCTCATCCGGCTTGTGACTGGTTGCACGCACTTCTGCCACGATTACGTCCGAGTCGAGGCCTCGATTCAGGTCCTTCGGGTTACCTTTCATTCCCACTAGGCAATGCTCTTTGCCATGGTTCAACCAATGTCCAGTACGACCTAAAAATTGCATTCTAGCTTAGTACCAAACTTTTGCGGAGAGTGAAGTGAGTGTGCTAAGCTAAAAGGAATGCTGAGGAGCAGGGGCTTAGCGGTTAACAGCGGTGTGGATGATGTTTGAGAGAGTTACAAAGTGTGCTGTAATGTATGCAAGTGAGTTTTGAGGTGAGAAGGCGCTGGATTCTAAAGTGAAACGGCAGCTGCAGGCGACTCACAGATTAATGCTGTTGGGTATGGGACGGGGTTATAGGACTGGCTCAACTGAGGCCCTACAGGTGCTCTGTGGATCCACCCCGGTGTGGCTGGAGTGTTTCTGTATGTAGAAATGAACAGAAGGATTTGGAATGCATATGAGAGCAGGTCGGGTGAGAGTTTTCGCGTATAGGCGTTTGAAGTGACTCTTGGCGGTAGGTACACTTTGACGTCACTGAATGGATGCAAAGGTAGTGTGGGGATGTGATGGTAGATGAGGAATGGGGTGGAACAAGTGTGGCACATATGGAGACCGTGACCATTGTCAAGGCGCTTGAAATGCTACGATATCGGCCGGTGTACTATTCGCGAAAGGCCATCGGAAGTTTGGAGGATTATAACCATTAGATCATGACTACGATCACTTATTAGCTGTGCAGGCGGAGGGTAATATACACAATATGAAGGGGATGGGGTGAAGATAGGAATTCTCTGGAAGAGAATTGCAGACGATTTGGCGAGAAGGGCTCTCTGGGGTGTGCCAAAGGGTAGGGTGAAGATCCAGCTGGCTACTGGGTATGGCAACTTCTGGGCACAACTCTATAGATTTGGGTTGAGAAGCTGTGGGGAGTGTGGATGCGGCCATGGCTAGGCTCGGAGGGAACTTTGTCTCTCTCCGGATGGCACTTGAGAGGGGAAAACAGAATGAGAGATCAGGGTGTCCTGGACTCATTTGCGAGAGTTGCTGGATTAGGAGAGTACGGGCGCAGGGGTGCGCTAGAACCGCCCACAGAACAAAGTGAACGTAGATGTATGTACGTGGGCATCAAACCTCAGTATCGATTTTAGTTTTATTCTAGGGTATAGGGTAGGATTAAGGCATTCGCACGGGCAAGACGCTGAGCGATACGTGCCTGTGCCGGGACGCTCGCAGTTAGAGCCCTATGCCAAGAGAAATTTTCAGAACGCGTAATTTTGAGATTGAGTGATGTCAATTGGCCCGCAAGATCCTGCGACTTAACACCGTTAGATTTCTTTTTCTGGGGCTATGCGAAAGATCGTGTTTACGCCAACAATCTTCAAACTCTTGAGCAACTGAAAGCCAATATCCGTGGAGTTATGACCGGGATATTACCGGTAATGTGTCGAAGTCATTCAAAATTACCTCAAAAGGATTGAGGCCTGTAGGAGGTCCCGTTGGCGACATTTAAATGATACTGTTGTTCACGTATATGCAAGGTTTAATCTTTATATTGAATTAACATTAACATTTTCGTCTCCATCTGAATATTTTGTGTTTTTTTTACTTTACTACTATATACATATTACATACAGGGTGAATCCAAATTGGCGTCATTCCTTTTAAGGGGTAATAGGGGAAGGTACGAGAAAAATATTATACAAATTTTTTGGATAATTTCTAGAAGATACTAACAGTTGAAAATCGAATTTCAACTTTGTTATTAAGCATTATTTTGAAAGTGTTCCATGTTTAATTGGAAGCATATTGGAAAACTTTAACATTAAAAAAAAAAATTACGATCTTTGCTTCAAATTACGAAAATTTTTGATATTAAAAAAGTTTTGTGTTACAATTTTTTGATGAAAAGTCAAAGCGGCAATAATGTTTTTTATCATTAACAAAAAGTTACAGGTGCATAGCTCTGTCAATAATAACAATAATTTGTCAAACTGTGACTTACTTTGAATTTCCTTTTACGAATTTGCGGATATGCGATTAGCTCAGGGGAAATGCTACAGTAACATAGCAGAAGCTGAAAGAACTCACACCAACAAAGGGCAAGGAGAGTGGTTCCAAGATATTGAACGACAATAGATGTTCGAGTGCCAGACAGAGAGGAACAAGTATTGGTCATAATTGCAGAAGAGCCTTTCAGGGGCACACAGAACATTACACAACTGACACTTTCCCAGGCAACAAATAAATACCGGCTACATTCCTACCACGTATGTAAGATCACATTAAACCAATGAACTACTCAACACCGGTATAAATTGAGCAGGTATTTATGCAATGTTAATTAGGCAGATTACCTTGAAAAATATTGTTGCCGTTTTTCTAATATCGTTTTTCGAAAATTTCTCAGTTTTTAATAACAATTTTTTTTCTAATTTTTCTGCACTCCTAAAACACCGCCAGACAACACCTTCAGAGGAATGACGCCAATTTTGAATCACCCTGTATACTACTGCACTATCCACTCAAAGTCGGGCATGAGGCGACCCGACACCTCATGTAATTTTGCGTTCCGTTCAAGTTGAGCGATGAATGTGAATACTTCCATTTAAATAGCATGTTAGAGTAACTTATCCCATTTTGACTGAAGCATGCGAGGACGGTGAGCTGAGCTACAGTAAGAATCGACCTCTACGCTGTTTTGCTGATTTCCACCGACCCCAAAAAAACGCGCTGTGCTGTACAGCTTCGCTCGCGTTGCACGCGCCTCAATTTGCGCCAAGTCTCACAAAACCACCCCCACCATCCACTCTTAAATAAATCCTGCGTTATTCGTGCACATAGACGCTTACCAGTTCTGATGATTCTTTGCAACTGATTGGTCTTGACCCAGATGATTTCATCCACTCGTTCGTAGCCCCACAACTTGAGGCACTCCCTGCCCAGTTCCATAGCTCGTCCAGTAACCCACAAGAATATCAGTCCTGAAACAACGCTCGTTCACGCTGCATCGGGCAAATGGGAATTAGGCAATTCAGTTACCTTCGTCTTGCAGTTGCGGTATACCCAGTTGTCTCATTTCATCGTCGGACATTGTTCCATATGGGAGTTCCATGTGGATGTCCCAAGGCGGATCAGCCATTATCACTGCAAATTTTCCTAAAACTCGCAATGCCAATGGCTGATTGGGCTCTGGAAAGTTGCTTACCTAACACGGTCATATCCAGGTACCGCAGGTCGCATTGCACCCATTGCGGTGGATACAGTGTGGTGCTTTCCACTCGTCCAACTGCTGGTAGGTTGGGAATGACCAACTGATTGCCATGGATTTGGGCTGCCCTATCCACTTCGTAATGCACGTATTTACACGTGTCCATATGGAAGCAGGTATTGAGAAAAGAACAATCCCCTAGATAGATGCACCGGTGAGTAGAAGAGGACGATAAAGTGGCTCTTATGGTACTAACCCAACGACTCATCCGTGTGTTTTTGGATTATTTTCTTGAAGTGTAGCTTCTTGCAATCGGTGATTGAATTTTTTTCACAATCCAACCTGGTTCCATGTGGACAGAACTCCATAAGCTGTGTACCACCTGGGGTACACATGGGGATTAAGGGCTTGACATTGTGCTTAGAGGGTTTGGGGTACACGTTAGAGGTATTGAAACAGTAACTACACTGGAGTTTGCCCACAACTATCTTGTATAAAACTCATAAATTAATTAAAAGTGAAGGAATGCCGGTATTACAGTGCCTTCTTTTCCCGTATTTATTGGCCAATAAATTGGACAAATCATTAAATGTCACCCGGTATATACACCAGTTGTTCGCCAACGGTGCACTGTGCAATAGGTTCTAAAAATTATGCGCAAAACGGAATTGGACTTTCATCACATGCGTCAAACCACCTCAAGTTTTCCATTGATTTTATATGCGAAAAACGTGTTAATTTGTTGACCCTTCCGTTGAACCTAGATGTTCTTACGCACTTTGAAGTGCTGAATCGAAAGCTACCAACAGTTTTTCTCTAAGTATCGACAATAAGCAAAAACCCTTGGAAAACGTGAAAAAATGAGTGAAAAAAGTCAATAAAGTGGCCCGTAACGATGTAAAAACATTCAGTTTTCATTTGAGTTAAGTAGTTTTTTGTGCTTTGAGCTGCTGCATACAGTGGAGTGCTGATTTTTTGTCTACATATTTATGATTTTTTTTCAGGCTTTTTACGAACAATTTGAATGTTGAAATCGGCAAGTGCAGATTTCGAAATGCGCCAACCTCAGACACTCCCAGAACCGGTTTCGAGCCTATTAGCTCTCATTAGGTGGGTTCAGACTGAAATTAGCGATTCCGAAACCTGCACTTTATAATATCAATGTATACTTGTTGATTTTTTCTAAGCTTCAATTTTTCTGATTTATTCAAGATTTTTCGCCAGTTCGATTAGCTTTGAAAAGGAAGCAGTTTTCTTGTCGTAAGCGTGTGTTATAGGCATAAGTAATATTGTGTTGCATGATGCTTTTGAGTAAATGCTGCTCTGTGAGTTAAGGAGCTGTAACTCATCTCACTGCGCTGCACTTCGAATTACGCTTTGCATGTAACCCAGAGCCGGATTAAAGCTTTACGAGGCCCGGGACTAGAATTTTCCCACCAGAAAAAATCATCACATTTTTAATGGGTAAAGTTTATACAGTTTGGAGACATTTTGTTTAATGCGCTGGTGGGTAACTGCGCCGGTGCATTGAGTTGGCGCACCAAGCCATTTTGCCAGCACTGCGCCAGTTTTTTTAAATTCACTGAGTTACCCATGCCTAGTGGTGTGTTATGTACGTTTGCTTTATGATTTTTTGTAAGGGTTTTTTACGACCCATTTGAAAATTTTTGGATCATATAGCTCATATAGCACAATCAGCGCTATTTTCAATAAAAATTAAAAGTCTTCTTCATTATCGACACTTTGCTTCGTTCTTATTCAATTGTATTTTCCCCATATTCCCCAGTCATTCCTTGCTTAAAATCACTGCAGATTTGCATCAAACTTAACTTTGAATTAATATTTTTGCTTTGCCATTTCTTGTGGAATCTCAAGAATTCATTAATTCTTGTTGTCTTATTTTTTTCTTTTTTTAATTTTTCTTTTTTCTTAGATTTTGGCCTAAAAACGAAGTGAGTTTGATTCGATCAAAAATACATTTAATTTACTTTCATTTTCATATTTTCATTCAATCTGATTATGTATTGGTTGGCCACAAATCACGATATATTGGAAAATATTTCCTTGAATAGTTCACAATACACAGTTCGCTTCGTCCTATTTTCCTTATATCCTTCTATGTGTGCTTTATGGGATCTCAGGCATGGCAAGCGCATTTTTCTTTGGCACCACCACACCACTGTGACCACCTTAAGCAATTAATAATAGATTTAAAAGCAGCGTTTTTAACACAAAAGCTTACCCAAGATGCGACAAAACTGCAGTTGATGACGTTCGTCGTTCGTGACATGAACATACGTGCGTACGTATCCTTTTATAAAAATTCGTTGTAGTTCGTCGTTTCCATACCGTCGGCAATTAACCAAATTTTATTTCGCCGGCGCGCTGTCGCTTGATGGCGCGCTGTCGCCAATGAGAGAACGAGTTTCGTATCACGTAAGTGACTGACAGTGATATTTCTCAAAACGAGGCCGTGTTTTATTTAATGATTCAACAAGATGGCTGATCACGTTATTTTCGTTGATGATTCAGACTTTAGCAGCTTGTTATTACAACAAATTATGAATACTTGTACAATTTAGGGCACAGAAAATGTACAAAAGCCCAGTAGAAACAAACGCGTTGCGTTTGTTAACGGCTGAACTAGCGACCGCGATAAATCGCGACATCTTTTATGATGGTGAAATATAAATTCAAACAAGATACTAACGACCCTTTTTTCAATAGCAAATATGAAGATAAATTGAACGTAAAAGCTTGCGTCTAGATCTAGACAAATTCGATCAAAAAAAATTAAATTAAGTGTGTATTATTGGGTAAACACAACACACAACATAACCAACCTGACGAATAAAATTGCAACGTCGGCCACTGCGAACTGCACAATTAAAGGCGGATTTATAAACTCGCGCTTGTAGCAAATTTGTAGCATTGTGCCGTTGTCCAATAGAAATCCGTCGTTGGCAGCACGTGTTCGAAATGCGTTTGAATGTAATGTAATAATTCGCGGCTAAACAAAAAACAAAGGAGTTTTTTGTTCCATCTTGATTTTCTTGTTAGTTTGGGTTAGTTTGAGGACAAAGTTGCATCTTTTACCATTTTTAGTAGACACTTGACCCTATAGATATGGAAAGTTTCAGAAAAATTCATCCGGAACCTGATTTTCGTCGCCTTGTGACTGTAAATTTGACTCACAAAATTGATGTTGTAAGTCACTTGCGCTCGCTTACTTAAAAATTCGCATCTCTCAAACTAGAGGACGCTAGTTCTAGAGACTAGAGGACGCGAGGTCAAAGTTTCGCGCTTAGAACATAGGTGGCGACAAAATCTTGGTGTTGTGTGCCGATATGTAAGTACTCGTGATACAATGAATACTAGGTAGGATATTGCGTCGATTTGCATGACGTCAATGGAAGTCACTGCGTGTCGTGCTTTTTTTCTGTCTGCTAAATGTGATTAAATATAGCTTAATTAATCTCTGTCACATTTAATTATTTTTTTATAAATCTTTGTTATAATTACAAAATGCTGTGCAGCAGGTTTTAAACTTGAAAATGAAATAACAAAAAAATTATTATTTTGTAGACCAGCACAGTTGACAGATGTGCAATAAAGTATAGCGTTTGTTTTTGGCAAATACTCTAAAAGTTCGAATTGCAAATTCGTCTCATGTCTCATAATCATCATTTTTGAAATGCTGAGAGCACATTCTGGCGGAAGCAACATTAATGGTGTCTGCACGACAACAAGCATTCTCACGGCTTGCTTAAAATACTGTCTTTTGAAAATCTATGAAACTTTATTTCGGAGATTTAACTCTCGAATTACTAATGCAACCGTAAACTGCATACTGCATTTTTTATATTTCTGAACACTTTCCAACTGCCAAAGGCAAAATTCTCAATTGTTTTTCTACAAGATTCCCAAACATTCCCAAACGCATTCGCTCCATGATACAATTAATTCATTCAATGATACAAAATGGATTCATTGAATGATACAATTAATTCATTGTTTCGTTTGGCTCTACCCGATTTCACGAATGACACTCTGGCAACACAACAAGCTAAAACGCTGAAAAAAGTCAAACCGAAACCAAACCGAGCTGAAAAAAACCAAGCTGTTTCGGCAGTACTGCCGAAACGGTTCCTGAAAATTCACCCATGTCTACCATGTCTGAGTTACCCATGTCTAATTATTGGCATTACTGTTGCAGATGAGGGAACATTTAATTGCATTTTACAGCTAATTTGGCTCTACTGAAGGCAAAATGTAGGATTTACTCCTATTAGACCGTATTAAAATATGCAATACTTTTATGCTAAATCTTTATTTTGCATAAATATTCGGTTTAAAAGCAAATAAATAATAAAACTTGACTACTGTGACATGCTCACTTCGAATGCATTAAGTACAAATACAAATTTTAGCCTATTCGAGTTTTTTAACGATAAAACTAACGAATAATATTGGAAACTTATTGGTTTATGATTTAAATTAAAGATATCAGATTGGCCTCCCGCAATTATAATTTTTGCCGAATAAAATTGCTGTGACCGAATAAAATTGATGTTGATCTTTACGGAAGGATTTGTATTCATTAATTTAAAAAATGTCCTTTTTATGAAATTTTCTGCGCTTGTAGAGCTTTAGACTCTTACGGAGGTTTAACTTTTACTTACATGCGATACATCTTTGCAAAATAAGAAAATATAGACCTGTAAGACCTGCTTGGCAGGTGTAGTCCTCGGTAATGAACAATAGCGACTGGCAAAAACGTGTGATCGTCATACTTGACAATGACCGTTTGCTCGCCGTTTTTTGAAGTGTAGCACATTTTCTTCGGAATGTTCATTGTCGGGCTGCCTATCTCGAATCTACGTCCCACCAGTACCTTTGCTATTACCATTACCTTGTCTTGACGCCTCTTATTGTCACGATGGTAGTGCGTGGCGTAGAAGGACTGTGTGGCGAATGAAATTCCACGACCAAACTTGTGCGTTTTTATCTGAAACCACAATTGACACAAAAATCTTCTCAGAAAACGGAGATATTTGCCCAAGCAATCGAATGTGAGTGAATTTAAAACACAAAAATCGGGACATTTTAGAACTGGAATTTAGTTTATTTTTTTTATTAGTTGAGTCTTCAAAGTTGTAGAATTTATCATAGAATTGCTCAACATTAGATTTCACAGTTTGGTTCTTACTTAACTAATGCTTGAAGCTCTCGGGGGAGCCTGCAACCTCTAGAGAGCGTATCCCCGGGTAGCGGATAGGGGAAAACTTCCCAGGGATGGGTAGTAAGAGGGAAATCAAATACCTCCCGCGGATCAACAGGTTTAGTGGGTGTTTGACGCCAGAGGAGCGACCCACAACAGCGTCTGACTCAGATTGGGCGGCTGAAACAAGAACTGGCCAACACGCTCGGCAAGCGTGGCCTTTGAATGCCAAAACCTTCCAAATCCATGTCATGCCGAGTTTTGAAATCACATTACTCCAGGCGAGTAGAGTGAGTGAGTCAGAATCTCGCCCTGATCAGTCAGTCCCCCTCGTGAATTCTGGGGCAGGCAAAACCTCAATATGCAGAAACAAAGATGTTGTCCCACAAAAAAATGTAATCCGGTGCGCAACATACAACATCAAAACAAGGAGAACAGCTAAACATCTCGAAATTCTGGAGAGAGAGCTACAAAATGTGGACTCTCATCTTGGTGTCGTGGCGATCCTAATCGACAAAAAAAAACTAAAACACCTAGTTACCAGGATGGAAGCTGTGTCTGATCCAAGAAAACCAGCAAAAGATCCTCCTTTACAAATAATTCAAACGTATGCTCCGCCAGGCTCTGCAGAAGACCATGAAGCCGCACATTTTCATGAGGACATAACAGCAGCTCAACGATTGAGAAACGCACAATTCTCTATAATTGATAGACAAGAATTTGTTGGCTACTTCGTTGATCATTAAATACTTTTAGGCCGTTCCCCAGTCGCTGATTTCATGCCAAACGGAGCTGACGAGAGCTAATAGGCTCGAAACCGGTCCTGGGGGGCTTGAGGTTGGCCAACCTCGAGACTTGCACTATCTTACATGATCCCTATAAACCTGGCATTCGTCGACTATGAAAAGACTTTCGCCTCGGTTGAAACTTGGGCGATCTTGAGAGCAGTGGACAACGCAAGAATAGATACGAGATACACGAAACTTATGGACAGTATAAAAACGCGACAAGTGGTCATTGATCAAGACATGTCGACAGATAAAATCAGACTGGGAAAAGGGGTCAAGTCAAGGAGACACCATTTGACAAAAGCAATTTACTGATGGAAGACACTTTTAAGAATCTACTAAGGTATAAATATAGATGGAGTCCTCCCAAGTCACCTGCGTTTCGCTGATGATATCGCGGTTATTGGTGGCGACGCCCTAAGGTCCATGTTAGAAGAACTATAAGCAGATTGGACTAAAAATGAATTTAGGGATGACAAAAATAAGGACCAATGAAGATGTTGGGGGAGAAGGGAAGGCTCTTGAGATTGTAGACGAATATGGAAATTGAAGCCCCACCATCAGGCTGGGAAAACAAAATCAAGCAGCGAAAATATGTGGAAGGATGGGATTGAGCCCAGATGATCCCATTGACCTTAAAAGGAAAGTTCATGATTCCTGAACTCTGCCAGTAACAACTTATGATATGGAAACCGTAACTCTCACGGAGAAAAGTGAAGATTGGCTCAGAATAACACAAAGGGCGATGGAGCGTGCCATGTTGCCAAATGAACAAAGAGAGTTGGATTGGCGCTCAAGAAAATCGAAGAGCAGTATGGGAAGGCACCCATAGTGATGGCGGGATGACTTCCAACGGATAGTAGGAAGGGGATGCAGACTGCCCGAAACAGACAAGCATGGAGATTATTGGAAAAGGCCTACATTCAGGAGTGGATGAACATAGGCTGAGAAGAAGCGAAGAATACTTGATAGCCACTTTCTTGCTCTCTGACTTCCACAATCGGGTGTAGGCATGAGTAGCTGAGGAAATTTTTATGGGTTGGCGCAGTGTAGCGGAACCGCTTAGCCAACACAATGCAACGGCGCAGTAACTCACCGGCGCATTTTATGATGCAGAACACTCACAATATCATAAATGTGAAGAGAGATAACAGAGAACCTTGTGTTACGTGATGTGTAGTGGAGTCGTACGTCATGTGCATTGCCTAATCGGATGTTCCTATGCCGCCCTTTCGATCTCTTCAATAATTAATCCATATTCTATAGTGTTGTCCATTTTGATCATCGGTTTGAAGAGCACCATTAAAAAACTAACCACGAATGTGCGTTTGTTAGCAAATATCTGTCTGGATGCATGCTTATAGTTTAAGTTAGTAAGTACTTAAAAAAATCTGGGACTCCTCAAGCTGGGCATGAGTAACACTGCGTTGAGTCGCGCTTTTGAGTTGATGCCGATTTGTGCGTTATAACTCATCGCGTCTCACTGCCCAGCACCTTGAATAACGCTTAACATTCCACCTCACGATGACAGAATTAGATTGATGATAAATTATGAAAATGGACTGATTAGATTCAGTTGAGCTCTTTTGGTTATCGACATTTTTGCCAATTTTTTTAAAACTATATTTTCACGATTCTCTGGAAAACTATGAAAGTTGGATAAGGATCGTTGGATAGTGCTCGAATAACTTTTTTCCAGGGGAAACTTCGTTTTAAAAAAAAATATAATGTAAAATTTCGAAAAAATCGTAAGGGTTTCGTTACGATTTTTTAAGCTTTAAAATTCGACGAAATCGATTGCAACAGGATAAATGGTTGACCTTG